AGTAAAGTAAAAATTACGTGACAAAACAATCAGTTAAAGGGTTTATGATAATATAAGAACAACTTAAACCAAGAGAGGATCAACAACAGCAAAATTATGAAGAGGTGATATTGAAATATTACTCTAACCATGAGGAATTAACTACAACTTTTATGTATAATCCCAGTTGTATTCCATTGACAATTAGAAAGATAATACATATAAAACAGTGTTTACATCAACAGTGACTTTCTACGTTACTTTGGTTGAATTTGGAGGGGGGAGAAGGAACATAAAAGTGAATGTCATATAAGTTTTTTGGCTGGTGGCTATATCAGCACATGTGACTTAATATGTGAAAATATTGACCATGAAGGACAACTACACTACATACAGATTGACAGGAGAGTCAGTGTCAGAAAAGATGATGCCAACAGCATCCTCTGAACAAACCATTATTTTGGATAACCTTGCATACAAAAATATACCGGACTCGGACTCCTGCAATCAGACCCTTTATTCCTGCTGTACAAGAAGCAAAAATTACATGTTGGTCATAAAATTCTGCACTGTACAGTATCTTGAATGCCTTCTTGATCTTGCTGTACATTATCTGTCAGATTTGCTGCACCAATGCCAACAGGTTCATTCACTGCTGTTATTAATAATTTAGCCCCTATTAATATTCTACAACCTTAAACAAACAAAACCCCTTTTAGTGAATTACAGTATTATATTAGTATGTAATGTCAAAATTTCATGTGTATTAAGTCAGTCTGGTCACTAGAAAAGTACTACACCCTTTGAAACATGAAAAGAATGATTTAGGGAAATTACAGTAATTTTTTTTAAATTAACATTTGATAATTGTACGTACAGTATGGGAGGTATTGCCAAAATGTCACCTGTAGTAAGTCAGTGTGGTCACTAGGAAAGCAATACACCCTTTGGAACACTAAAAAATACTTACAGTGAATTACAGTAATTTTTTCATAAACCTTTTTGATAATAGTATATTCAGTTAGGGAGTAATTGTCAAAATTTCACCTGTAGTAAGTCAGTGTGGTCACTAGGAAAGCACTACACCCTTTGGAACACTAAAAAATACTTACAGTGAATTACAGTAATTTTTTCATAAACCTTTTTGATAATAGTATATTCAGTTAGGGAGTAATTGTCAAAATTTCACCTGTAGTAAGTCAGTGTGGTCACTAGGAAAGCACTACAGCCTTTGGAACGGGAAAAAATACTTTAGGGTAATTACAGTAATTTTTTCTTGAACTTATTAGTTTATTGTACGTACAGTAAAGGAGTTATTGTGGAAATTTCACCTGTAGTAAGTCAGTGTGGTCACTAGGAAAGCACTACAGCCTTTGGAACGGGAAAAAATACTTTAGGGGAATTACAGTAATTTTTTCTTCAACTTATTAGTTTATTGTACGTACAGTAAGGGAGTTATTGTCAAAATTTCACCTGTAGTAAGTCAGTCTGATCAGTAGGAAAGCACTACAGCCCTTGGAACGGGAAAAAATACTTTAGGGGAATTACAGTAATTGTTTCATAAACATTTAAGTTTATTGTAAGTACAGTAAGGGAGTTATTGTCAAAATTTCACCTGTAGTAAGTCAGTCTGATCAGTAGGAAAGCACTACAGCCCTTGGAACGGGAAAAAATACTTTAGGGGAATTACAGTAATTTTTTCTTGAACTTATTAGTTTATTGTACGTACAGTAAATGAGTTATTGTCAAAATTTCAGCTGTAGTAAGTCAGTGTGGTCACTAGGAAAGCACTACAGCCTTTGAAACAAGAAAAAATACTTTAGGGGAATTACAGTAATTTTTTCTTCAACTTATTAGTTTATTGTACGTACAGTAAGGGAGTTATTGTCCAAATTTCACCTGTAGTAAGTCAGTGTGGTCACTAGGAAAGCACTACAGCCTTTGGAACGGGAAAAATACTTTAGGGGAATTACAGTAATTTTTTCTTCAACTTATTAGTTTATTGTACGTACAGTAAGGGAGTTATTGTCAAAATTTCACCTGTAGTAAGTCAGTCTGATAACTAGGAAAGCACTACAGCCTTTGAAACAGGAAAAAATGCTTTAGGGGAATTACAGTAATTTTTTCTTCAACTTATTAGTTTATTGTACGTACAGTAAGGGAGTTATTGTCAAAATTTCACCCGTAGTAAGTCAGTGTGGTCACTGGGAAAGCACTACAGCCCTTGGAACGGGACAAAATACTTTAGGGGAATTACAGTATTTTTTTTCTTGAACTCATTAGTTTATTGTACGTACAGTAAGGGAGTTATTGTCAAAATTTCACCTGTAGTAAGTCAGTCTGATAACTAGGAAAGCACTACAGCCTTTGAAACAAGAAAAAATACTTTAGGGGAATTACAGTAATTTTTTCTTCAACTTATTAGTTTATTGTACGTACAGTAAGGGAGTTATTGTCCAAATTTCACCCGTAGTAAGTCAGTGTGGTCACTGGGAAAGCACTACAGCCCTTGGAACGGGACAAAATACTTTAGGGGAATTACAGTATTTTTTTTCTTGAACTCATTAGTTTATTGTACGTACAGTAAAGGAGTTATTGTCAAAATTTCACCCGTAGTAAGTCAGTCTGATTAGTAGGAAAGCACTACAGCCTTTGGAACAGGAAAAAATGATTTGATTATTGTCCTGTTGGGGGGGGGGGGGGGTGGTACAGTTGTAAGACCTAGGATCAGATATGATGAAAGAAGACCAGGAGTCGTGAAATTTAATCAAATAAGTAAAATTTTACTGAAGAATAGTTTGCAGTTAAATTAGTAGAACCAGTGTCAAAGTCACGAGGAGGTCCCAAGCCAACTCTACCTTACACAAAAATCTCACACAATTATACATTTTACAAGGACATGCATTACATAATCATTTACTTCTGATTGGCTAAGACAACATATAGTCTAAACAATAATACATTTTTGATAGATAAGTGGGTATATAGCCAATAATCAGAATATTTGTCGTCCATTTCCGAGATTCAAGTCTATGGTGACCTTCTTCCAGGGTACGAGAATGTTGTATATCACAAAGTTCAGAACCTCCAAAGAATATCAAACGCACACACACACACAGAACACTGACAAACAACAGTTCTCTTCGAGGCTGAAGAAGGCCTGAGCTCATTATCAGAACAGCAGTCTACCTTAACAGGCTGATAAAACATTTCACTCCAGGAAAGCAGGAACGATAATATTATACCCCTTTACTCCACTCGCTAAAGAAATACACATGAGATGTTCACTTAATGAAAATAAGGTGAAATTATGTATAAATTGACCTTCAAACTTATACAAGTCAACTAAGACAAGATATGTGGATATTGTTATGAAATATGCAATTATTCTATTCTAATCATGGCTTTTGGTATATGAAGTATTTATGGGTTAGTAAGCCACAATTGCAACCAATAAAAAGTGCTTTTATAATGAAAGGTATCATAAGTAGTTGTTAAACAATTTATTAAGAAAGTGTTTACTGTAAAACACTTGTATTAATAATCATTGTAACCAGAAAATAGTTTATTAAGAAAAACAACTTGTTTTTATAAAGATTTTTATTATGAAGCTGGTTTATTAAGGAAAACACTGTAACTTGTTTTATAAATATTTTTATTATGAAAATGGTTTATAAAGAAAAACATACCACACTGAATGTTGCAAGCATTTATTAAGCAGATGATGGTGGCAGAGTAGAGAGGAATTGAAAATTTATTAGAAAGAGCTTTGCAAAAGAAAGGAGAAAAATGCCATACCGTCTGTGTTGCGGACGAGATACAGAAGATACAGCGATGATGGAAAGGTCCAGAAAAAGAGGACAAAGGGACAAAGACTTTTATATGGAAAAGTCCTAAGGGCTCTTCTAGAAATAATGACAGTTCAAGATTTTGTGTTTGACCAATTGGCTGTAAAAGACTGAATGTATGCATGTCTCTCTCTCTCTCGCCGCTCTCTGAATCCCAAGACAACTATCATCAAAAGGCTTGCATGTGAACACAACCCAAGGGCACACACTGGAATGCACCTAAAAGAAAATGAATAAAGAATTGATTAGGATACATACTCGATTGTTGATTTTTTAATAAGAATAAAGTAATCATTCAAAAGGATATAAAAGGATATATAATTAAATTGAAGAGACAGGGGATTCTGACCCCAACCCTTCAGTACATACAGTAAGGGAGGTACTGTCAAAATTCCACCTGTAGCAGCAGTAAGTCAGTCTGGTCAGTAGGAACATACTACAACCTTTGGAATATGAAAAAAATGTCTTTGGTGAAGAATTACTGTAAGTTTTAAAACATTTTTGCGTACTGTATGTACAATAGCCTACACAAAGGTACACTAAAGCAGTCGTGATCTAGGTGAATACTCAGCAAATATCAAACCTGAAACTATTTTCACCCTGGTTGATTTTAAAAAAAATAACTTGACTATGTTCATGGTGCTGTCCACGTACTATGTGGTCCTGAAGGTCCTACATGATCAAGTCTGCAACTTGGGTACAGTTGCTTTTTATATTCGCTTCGCATATTTGCGGAGTTCCGCGTTCAATATCTCGTAAGCTGAATATTGTTACTACACAAATAACATTGTTTTAATATTTTAATCTCCTCAAAACGAATTTTCCTTCGGGTTTGCACTTTGCAGATGGTCCCTTCTTAGCAGCCTGCTCATAGAGATCAATGTATTTTGTCCAGTGCGAAGGAAAGATCGTTTTGAGGAAATTTATGTTGTAGCTTCTAGTGTTTTATCTGTAGTTATCTGTGATATGCGTTGTGTGTAGCAACAACGTTTAGTTCACGAGTTATTGAACGCGGAAGTCCGCGAATGTGCGAATATGCGAATATAAAACCAACTTTACCTAAGTGGATTTTTGCAGAAGGACAATTCGCTGGATTTTATCCCAGAAGTTTATACGTTTATTTAGAAGTACAATGTTAAAAGAAAATATATAAAGACACGAACATAAGCATTGCAACAACGATTAGCGAAAATCGCTCGTGTGCAGCTTATGGCAACCCCTCTCTGTATCCTAGCAACTGATGTGTTGTTGCTCAGCTTAGTTAGCGAGCTCTAACGTTAGCTATTGCTGGGCCACAGACAGTGAATAGTTGAACTTAATACGGACATTAATTTGCACTTTTCTTCGGTAAGCAAACTGTTCTGTTTACCGGGTAAGTTAAACTATCATAATTCACAACCACAGATGTTGGAAGTTTAACGTAAGTTACTCGTATACGAGATAAGCGGTATGGTCACTCGCTAGCCGTGTAAACTAACGTGTTATCTTGTCAAGAAATGGTTTTAACAGAGGAACTCGCATATTTGTTCAAAATAATGTCTAATAATGTTTCTTGTTTTGTATATGTTCCCATTCCCACTGTATAGTCTGGATAAAGTGTCTACATTGTTGCCTGAATGCCTTCTTATTACTTATAATTAACGTTAGCCTATTATGATCTTCTGCTTTCCAAATATAATGTCTCATTTACATCAGAGACTTTTATGAGTTTTGTTTTGTTTGTTTTTTCAGATGGAGAACGTGCATCTTGTCCCAGAGGAAGAGGATGATGATTTGTATACAGGCTACAATGATTACAATCCGACTTTTGACTCAGAGGTGCAAAAATACCTTGCATTTATTAAATGTCATCACTTGCTTTTATGCATGATCATTTTCCTGTCCCTACAGGATCTTCACAACGATGTGGGTTTTCAGCAGGCCGTCAGGACGAGTCATGGCAGAAGACCACCAGTAAGTGAATAGCAGCATCTGCTGCTAAAGGTGCTGTATGGAAGCACAGGCACATCAGCACATACCCATATTTCATTAATAATAGACACTACATTTGTTTAATGAATATTTTTAGATGACCGCAAAATATCCTGGCACTGCTATTGGAGGGCGACCGATTGGAACAGCGTATGGGGTGAGTAGAGCTTATGGATTTACACTACTACATTTTTGACTCAAACTAAAATAGCGTTTTAAGTTAGCGTGATAGCATGTTAGAATGTATTATGTCTTATAATCAGGAAGAAAGCTGTCAGGACAGGAAAGGTCATTGGCCCTAAGGGGGGATAGAATATACAGTCAGAATCAAGATAATCAAATATTGGGAAAATTAAATCGTATAGAATTTGGGTATAGAAATGGACTACGGTATATTGAGAAATGGACTGTATTTCATGCTTCAATAAGGGATTTCGAGGCTTAGTTTGTCAGTAAAGTAAGTTGATTCTATTTGTTATTTCCTCTTATGTCTTTATATTTCTGATGTTAATATTCCAGTCTCGGATGCCTGTTGGCACTGCAATGGGAAGGCCTATGACTGGAGCTGTTCAGGTGGGACACAATTTCTTGTTTATTTTCTCTTTATGTAATATGCAATGAAATTTTATTCGTTTTCTATTTTTTGTGTGTGTGTTGTACAGGACGGTGCGGCTCGTCCCATGACTGCAGTGCGGGCAGCAGGATATTCTTCATCTATAGCTAGAGGTGCTTTCACACAAGAAACCCTCTTGCACATGCTGTCCAGGCACTCCATGTTTAACTGTCTCATAATTATATTAAATAAATACTGTTATAGATTTTTTCCTCAAACCTACCTATTATAGATTTTTTCCCTCAACCTAACTATACTACCATAACTTATACTCTAGCGCGCCTATATATTGACGTTAGCTAGGTTCACACTTCAGCGAGTCTCCAGTCGACTACAGCATCCATCTAAATTCTATACTCTGCCAGTCTACAGTTGAGTCGACAATTCTAACTTACTTGTTTTCTTCACTGCGCAGCTTAAATGACAGACAGACTTGAGTAATTGTCCTTTAAATGCTCTTTATACGCTGATTTCACGCAGCCGCCATTTTGAAATCGAAAGCGAGGCTCCGGTGGGAAGAACCCCGGAAGTACAGATAGACAACAATGCCTTGGACTACCAACCTGAAGCTGCTGCTGCGATTTACACTATTGGATGTTAATATCCAATATAGGATATGTATATAGTTTGTTCCTGCTTCTTTTTTTACGTTCTGAATTATATATATAAAAAAAATAATTTTATTTATAAATGAATTTCACTGTATATAGACTCTAAAGTATGAAAGAAATGTATGTACATTTTTAGAATAACTAATTTCTACATTAAACACAACAATACGCCATCGCATTCGCGACTCTCCTATGATTAAAGGCGACACTTCTGGTTTTCTTCCCACCGGAGCCATTTCAAAATGGCGGCTGCGTGAAATCAGCGTATTACGGCCGGGAGTTCTCGAGCAGTTCTCAGAGAATCTCAACCAAAAAGAAGAATACAACAAGCTTTATAGGATAAAGCCAGACACATCAAAATATAATCATCATGACTAACATGTCATGCTCTATCAATATGATTGGTTAAATTATTTAAAGCAAGCCCCCCCCCCCCCCCCCCCCCTTCATTACCCTTTGTTAGTGACATCAGCAAAAAATATCCTGTATCATTAAAAAACATTGTAAGGGGTTAATATTTCAATCAATCATTTCACAATACAGTCAAAGAACAGAACATTTAGTCCATTTTCAAAGTTCCATTGACCAAGGTTACATTGAGTCAAAAGTTTGTTAGAAAGTTAGATCATATCGAAAGTTCGTCTGATGGCTACATCCTAAATAAAAGGAAGTAAGATTTATTTTGGTTTATTGTTAGATCTAGAATGGAAAGTTAGTCACCATCAGACATAAAATCGGGAAGTGTGATAAAAGTTTATCATAAGATGCTTCATCTAAAATCAGATTTTTATGGTTAGTAACATCATTAATCTTATCTATTGAAAATCCACCACAATACATTTTAACTTCTGAGTTTAACTTCCTTTATTTTAATTGTTTGAATTTGCAGGCTCAGTGTTTGATCCACTGGGACAATCAAAAGGACCAGCCCCTCCATTAGAGAGACAGAACGAAGACACGTATGCGTCCGTCTGTTTTCATAGCGCTTGAGAAGCCATTGACAAGTTTTGTTTACTAGATCCCCCTTGACATCTATAGTTTTACTTGGAAACGGACACAACTTTTTGGTTTAATTGTTTGTTTTCTTGTTCAGTCCAGAGGAAAAGATAAAGATCCTGGAAAAGAAGGTGAATGATTTGATAGAGGAGAGCTGTCTCGCTCATGCTCATGGGGATCTTCAGCTGGTGGGTATAGCTGGGTATAACTGCTATACGTGGTTTTAAAGATTTTAAAGGATGAATATTTAGATGCTGAATTATCTTTTTTTCTACAGTCTCTAGAGAAAGCCAAAGAGGCGGGCAGGAAGGAAAGGGCTCTGGTGAGACAGAGAGAACAAACAGGCACTGCAGACCACATCAATCTGGATCTTACCTACTCTGTGAGTTCATTGCTCCATATAAAATACATATCTTGACTGAAAACTCCGAAATTTCACATGTTTTATTTATGCCTTGTTCAGGTATTGTTTAATTTAGCAAACCAATATGCCAGTAATGACATGTACACTGAAGCTTTGAACACATACCAAGTCATTGTGAAGAACAAAATGTTCAATAATGCCGGTGAGCGAATTGCAAATATTATTTAAAATATCTTAATCCAAATTCAATTCCCTTTGATATAAATGGGTTTCTAATTTGAGGTTTCTTGTTACCACTTTCCCTACTATAGGTCGATTGAAAGTAAACATGGCAAATATCTATTTCAAGCAAAAGAATTACACAAAAGCTATCAAATTTTACCGCATGGCTTTGGATCAGATCTCAAATGCCCACAATGCAATGAGGTCAGTGCTTAGTTCAGTACGTTTGTTGTGTGAACTGCGTATTTGAATTGCACCCTTCAGTTTATTCGGGTTGTAAGCAATTTGGCTGGATTTTCAATATGTAACTTTCCCTTATTGTATAGGATCAAGATCATGCAGAACATTGGAGTTGTGTTCATACATATGGGCCAGTACTCAGATGCCATCACATCCTTTGAGTACATCATGAGTGAGAATCCCAACATAAAGACAGGCTTCAACCTCATCCTGTGCTACTATGCCATCGGAGACCGTGAGAGGATGAAGAAAGCTTTTCAAAAACTAATTTGCGTGCCCCTCGGTATTGATGATGAAGACAAGTATATCCCTGCAAATGTGAGTGTATCGTTAAAATCCTTGTTAGTCACACATTTAAACTGAATTATATCAAATTTTTATGTGTTTCTTTTTTACATTTCAGGATGACCCTCATGCAAACATGGTGATTGAGGCAATAAAGAATGATAAGCTTCACCAAATGGAAAGGGATAGGTATTATAATGTATTACACATTCTATAATACTGTCTACAGCTTGGCATTTATTAATCTTGCCAATGATATTACATTTCAGTGTATCTGCATCGTCTTCTATCATTTTGTTTTGTTTTACTTCTAGGAAAGCACTAGCAGAAAAATACATTATGACCTCAGCCAAGCTTATTGCTCCAGCCATTGAGTCGTCATTTGCAGCTGGGTTTGACTGGTAAGTAGTTTATACTATCATTCAAAAGTTTGGAGTCATTAAGATTTCTCAGAAAGGATGCATTAAGTTGATCAAACGTGACTATAGAGACATTTATAATGTTACAAAAGATTTTTCAAATAAATGCTGTTGTTTTTATTCAATGAATACTGAAGAAATATATCACAGTTGTATGAAAAATGCATAATCACAAAAATATTAAGCAGGATAATATTGATAATAATAAGATTTTTTTCTTAGAATGATTTCTGAAGGATCATGTGACACTAAGTACTGGTGTAATGGCTGCTGAAAATTCACCTTTGCCATAATAGGAATAAATTACATTTTAAAACATTAAAATTGAAAACAGTTATTATAATTCATGATATTACTGTAAATTACTGTATTTTTAAGAGATAAAGGTAAAGGTAAAGTCTTACCAACCCCAAACTTTTAAATGGTAGTGTAAGTTTTCCACGAGAGGGCGTCAAATCCCATGACATTCCTTTAACAATAGTATTTATTTTAAATAGTTATTATTCATCCATCTTTTTTTTAGGTGTGTGGACATGGTGAAGGGTTCACAATACGTGGAGCTTGCAAATGACTTGGAGATCAATAAAGCTATTACGTACTTAAGACAGAGGGACTTCAAACAGGTAGATCTGACCCTGAGACACACTCAAATAGCGTTGCATTTGACATATTACCACAGAAGAGAGCCATTTTGCTCTATGTCTGTGTGGAACCCTTGTTTCTGTCTTTTAACACTTTTCACATTCAATGGTCCATTTTATTTTGTTTTCTTGCCTGTCCGTCTGCATGACTCTTGAGGCTGAGGTATGTTTTTGTTTTTGGAGAACCTGTGTGTTTCTGCAGTAGGCCCTGTATACGTGTGCTAATATTGTGTTGTGCTGCCTTGCTTCTCTCATTTCATGTAGCAGCTAATGTAATGTGATGTATCTCAAGTGTATTATTCAAAGAATTATCTATTTATGTCACTCATTTCCTTGAGGTCACTGCGAACACTATATGCTTAATATGCTTAATCACTTATTTTTTTTTATTTTTTTTTTCAGGCAGTGGAGACGCTAAAGATGTTTGAGAAGAAGGACAGTCGAGTAAAAAGTGCTGCTGCCACTAATCTGTCTTTTCTCTACTTTTTGGTGAGTACAGAGCTATAAAGCATTGACATTAAAAAACTGGAAATGACTGTATTTATCACATTGTGTTAATAAGGTTCTCAGATATGCTTAATAAGATATGCTCTTGTTTTGCTGCTTACGTGTCTTCTCCAGGAAAAAGATTATGACCAGGCTGACCGTTATGCTGAGCTAGCCATGACCGCCGACCGCTACAACCCTGCTGCCCTCATTAACAAAGGCAACACAGTGTTTGTGAAAGAGGACTATGAGAAAGCAGCAGAGTTTTATAAGGAGGCTCTTCGCAATGACTCATCCTGTACTGAAGCTCTCTATAACTTAGGTCTGCCATTACAAATATGACATCCTAAGGGTTACACTGCATGAGATTTACATTATACGTGCTTTAACCTTTCTACATTTACGTTTCAGCTGAGACCAAGACTATGTATTAATAATGTAAGTCCTTTTAAAGCAGAAATCTCTGTATCCTCATGCAGGTTTGACCTATAAAAGGTTGGGTAGGCTGGAGGAAGCCCTGGATTGCTTCCTCAAACTGCACGCTATCCTCAGAAACAGTGCTCAGGTCATGTACCAGCTGGCTAATTTGTATCCTTCCCTTTAAACATCAGCATTCAAAATTTATATTAAATGAAAGTCTGTTTTATGACAGTTTGGGAATTTCAGTTGCCAAGAAATATCATGACATAAGTATGATGAGTGCTTGTTAAGAGTCATATTCCTTAAGCAGCTTTAGATATGAGATGTTGGAGGACCCTCATCAGGCCATTGAGTGGCTGATGCAGCTCACCAGTGTGACCCCCACAGATGCCCAGGTGCTGGCCAAACTGGGAGACCTCTATGACAATGAGGGAGACAAATCTCAGGCCTTCCAGTACTATTATGAGGTAAAAAAACGATTTTCCCTAAAACCACCACTTAACATGACATGTCATTAGTCACATCTCAAGTGATGTGGTTTGAATAAAATAAATGCAGGACTTAAAAAATTTATTTTTGTCATCATACATTTATACATTCATTTTTCAAATAAATAGCTGTATTTAAAATGGTTTAAATGTAACATATATAATAATGATAAATTAAATCTCAAATGAAATTATTAAATACTGGCTTGAGATCCTTTTATATCTAAACTGGTTATACATCTATAGTAGTTAATGTTTTATGAGCAGTAGAATATCCATATTCATCCGCACAGTCACGCTGTGCCGAAGCACAACCTCAACAATGTTCTTGCGCGAAAATGCATGCAGTTGAGAGGGCCGGAAGTTTCATGGTGTACCTTTAATGTTTGATCAGTGATGTCCTGGTGCATGCTGGGAAGGACTCAGAGGGGAAAATTATGGATTGTTTTGTCTGCTATGGTATGATATGGCACAATAATGGTGAATGTTTGTGGTATTTAAATGTCCTGTCATATTGCAGTTTTCTTGAATAAACTGAACAGTTCAGTCATCATTTACTCAACTTCTTCAACAGCTCTTTTTATGCAGTCAAAACAACTGTCATGTTTGGAACATGACAACAACACCATCATTTAAAAAGCACCATAAAAAGAGTCAGTACGACTTCTGAAGTCACTGTACAGTAGTGATGTCCGGAGGGGATTTTTGTTTTAAATGACCCTATAATATGAGGGAAGAACAAACTCTAAACTTGGTTAAGGTATTTATCTGACAAAATGATTTGGTAAAAAAGGCAAACTACAGCTACAGGTTTTATTTTATTATTATTATTATACTATCTTATTATACTCACAGGAAAAAGCATACATTGACTACAGCATAATCATTATTAATATTTCATTGGTTGAATGAATATATATATATATATATATATATGTGTATTCATATATATAGTGTACTTACTATCTAGTGTACTCACTATCTAGTGTGCACTATCTAGTGTGCTTACTATCTAGTGCACTATCTATATAACTACAATATTCAGAAGTAAACAGTTTAGCTGATGTTTAATGTTTATGTCAGAATGTTTATTTTTAAACCACAATTTTTAAACCACAACTCTCTCCAATGTCAGAATGTTTATTTTTAAACCACAACTTCAATGTGTGCTTTTTTTACCGATATATTTAACGATATCTTTTGCATTTCTAATCCAAACAACGTCAAACTCGGCACTGCACTTACTCGTGCCCGTAGCAAGACACCTGTCAAGTTTGAAATCCATTGGACTAACGGTTAGAGAGATATGCGAATAACAGACAGACAGACAGACAGACAGACAGACAGACGTTCCTGTAATTTATAGATAGATAGATTTAACTATAGTTCAAATATCGATATATATATATATATATATATATATATATATATATATATATATATATTGTATATGAACACCTATGCATGTCTTGCTTTCTTTAGATAACAGTTAAATATCATTAAATATAATTTTATTAAATAAAATTTATTTAAAGAAAGCAAGACATGCATAGCTGGCAATTATATAGATCGCAGTCCAGATTTTAGTGGATATTTAAAAAGAATATTCTATATAATTTATGTATTACAGTTATTATGATTGGTGTCTATTACAAAACTTCAGTTACTCGAAAGAAAAAAATCAAAAGAGGTAACATTTAAAAAAAATAATTTTATGTTGTTTATTTCAGTCGTACAGGTATTTTCCCTCAAACATTAGTGTCATTGAATGGTTGGGAGCATATTACATCGACACCCAGTTCTGTGAGAAAGCTATTCAGTACTTTGAGAGAGCTACCCTTATTCAGTAAGTTACTAAATATCATATTTATCATGAATATTCTGCATGTATTTGGAGATATTAATGATGTATAATGAATTTCAGACCAACACAGGTCAAGTGGCAGCTGATGGTGGCTAGCTGTTACAGGAGAAGTGGTATGAACTTGACAATACTAATACATTTAATAAGTTTAGCCATAAGCTGTCATCTCAGTGCCTTCAGAGTCATGATTTATGTTTTTCATTTGTTTTCAGGGAATTATCAAAAGGCACTCGAGACCTACAAGGACATTCATCGGAAATTTCCTGAAAATGTTGAATGTAATGTGCTCAACACAAGAGTTTTTCCCCCCTTTAAATCTTTGGGCTTATCTAGTAGCTTTGCATCTCATGCCACACATTATCTATCGGGCAGGTCTACGCTTCCTGGTCAGGCTGTGCACTGATATGGGACTAAAAGAGGTGCAGGATTATGCCACCAAACTGAAGAAAGTTGAAAAAATGAAGGAGATCAGAGAGCAGGTACCCTGATTTCTCTTGGTGCTGTTTATATTTGGGCCTCTTTAGCTAGAGTGAAAGTGAGGAGTGAACAAAAAAACACATATACCGTAACTGTCTAGACTAGAGGGATAAGCGACTGACTTAAATCAAGTGTGGAGTTTCATATTTTAAAATTTAAAACTAAAAGAGAGAGAGAGAGAGATTACCTGGATTTCTTCTTCACCTGTTCCTTTAGCCAGTAAACCTATGGTTGAATACTGAGGAACCTGTGTGTTGGTCTGTATATAAAATATTTGAGCACATTCCCCATATTCAGAGCTGGAGAAATGGCCAGTATTTGACAGCATGCTGTTATTCCCACACACAGAGGGTGCGATCTGGGAGGGAGAGCAGTGCTCGAGGGCGCAGGGAAGGCAGCGCTGGCAGTGGTGAGTGGACTGTTTTAACTCAACCTCATCGATCAAACTTTGAAATAAAATACTGCTCATTAACTCAATACATGCTTCTTACTTGACTTTTTCCATCAACCTGTCATCCGCCTCTCTTGGTAAACAGGAAATACATCAAACCTTACACACACTCCCCCTAAGAAACCCAGCGGTATGACTGTAACTGCCCTAGTGACTTAGTGGAGACATCCTGTGATGTGATTTTTCCAAAAGAAGATGCATGTTCCTTAGACACCGTCTTTCCTTTAGGACTAAACTAAATCACATGATTTAGAGATTTGAAATCTAACAATTTCCCTTTAGATTTTTGTTTATTTTGGTTTATTTTAATTTTATAGTCTAGAAATAATATATATATATTTCATTCTTCACTTGTCTTTTGGGATATCAGATGTGGATCTCATATCAGGTGATGTTCAGTTGTCAGCTTCAGGCAGTGCTGGGTTTAAAGGTCATGCAGTACACTCATTTTCAAACAAGTGACTGTTATCAGCCTTTTACTGCATCTCACCTCTCTCTTCTTCTAATATTGTATTTTCACGTCATCACTTCTTTAGGAAGCGGCTCAAACCCCAAAAAGCCCAGTGGTATGATCACTACATGCTTTATGTAGAATAATTCAGACATGATATAAAGCTACTTTATTATTATGGTCGGTTTTTATAAGGGATTTAGTCATAATTCCCATTTCTGTGGAAAATAAGCCAGATAAAGGACATACACTGTCATTCAAAAGTTTGGATTGGTAAAATGTTTTCATGTTTTTGAAAGAAGTCTCTTATACTCAAGACTGCATTTATTTGAGTAAAAATACAGTAAAATATTATTACAATTTAAAATAACTGTTTTCTATTTTAATATTTAGTCATTTATTTCTATGATGCGAAGCTAAATTGTCAGCATCATTACCCCAGTCTTCAGTGTCACATGATCCTTCAGAAATCATTCTAATATGATGATTAGCTGCCCAACAGACATTTCTTACAATTTGCTGCTTAATGTTTTTGTAGGAACCTTTTTCAAGGATTCTTTGATAAATAGAAAGTTTTATACGAATAGAATATTTCGTAAAACATTATAAATATCTTTGCTGTCACTTCTGATCAATCTGATGCATTCTTGCTGATTAAAAGTTTTTCAAATTTCTCTCAAAAAAATTCTTTCACTTTATATTGTCAGCTTCATCTTCGTTCTGTTGGTAATGTGTTGTTCTCTTTTATTGTTTATCTCTGTTATTCTGTTCATGGCTATGCACCTGAAAGGGAGCAGCTCAAGCCCCATCAATACCCCTCCTCTGAGAGCCAGTGGTATGACTACACTCATTACAGAATTACATTAGAGGAAGAGATCACACACTCCACCTGTATGACTATTACAACGAGCATTCTGCAGCTCAGGAATAAACTGCTGCTACTGCACCTGTTATAGCGCTTTGTTACAGATGTCATTCATTCCTCACATTCAGCCCTGCAGTCGTAACTGAACTCAACACATAATGCTAGGTTTACCACTTTATTCACAAAAAAATCTTCATTGTTGCATTGTGCAACCAAATTTTTAGGCCACACTCAGCTCTCAGCAACAGCCTTTCCACTGTCTCTTCAGAGATCTGTCTTCTTCTTTTTCCTTTCTTTTCCTAGCAGTTTCTCGCTCTGAAGCTAAGTATAGTCCTGTGCTGCAGCAGGGCAGAGGTATGTACTCTATTTCACTGTGCACTTTAGATGATCAGTCCTCTGGATGATTAAAAACAAAAAACCCATAGCTTCATGGAAAACTTAAACTTGCTTAGTCCATGTAACAAAATGATGTTTTAGTGCCTGGAGTTTCCCCATCATGATACAGCGTCCAAGGACATCATTTCAATCACAGCTCAACAGAAAGCAAACATGTGCTGAAAGCCTGAGGATTTCTTTGTGCCAAAACCACTGTTCCCAGGGAATATCCCGCTCCCACTGTCTGACAGAGTGTTTCCAGCACCTCCTTTCTGTTTGCAAAGCACAGAGTGCAAATAAACCAGTGAAATATTTCACGAGTACACTCCTGAACAACACTATCCCAGTATTAGTGCGCTTGATATCAACAGTTTCTTACTGTACTATTTTTACTATTACTTGCCATTTTGGATGCATGAACTGACGTCACAATAATGATAATGAGTTTTTTTATGAATACAAATACTCCGAAGCAGTTTTTATTTAGCTTTTTGTTTTTGTGATAAATGTTTGAGCTTGATTCTGGCATGATTCCTCAGTTAGGTGGACAGGGTAGGGAAAACTACTGTATGTCAGCAAAAGGCTTGTCATTTTAATGCCTTTGAGTTTTGTCGCTGGGACATTTAAAGATCTCAAAGTTACCTGCCTGCTAGACTCTGGTCCCACATCTGCCCCTCAGTGCTCTGTTCCTGTCATCACAGCCGAAATGTGAAATGCAGCTGTGTGCCGCTGTCTTTGTACAACACAAATGCTTTCAATTATGCTACTGTATTCATATGAACTCACTTTAATTAGGATTATAGTTCCACATAGGCTTTGCTTCAAGTGCAAGCTGGAGCTGTTGCTTTTCTTGCTTTTTTGTTGTTGTTTTGTTTACCAGTGCTCTAACACAGCATGGCTTGCATTGTCGATGGTGGCAACTTAAATGCAAATGCCCTTTTCCCCCCTTCTGTTCAGACACTACTGTAAAATAACACTCATTCCAGAAATTTTTCCATGTCCAACATGTGGATGTGTTTTCTCAGACAGTGGACAAAGCAACCATGGCACCAGCGCCAAGGGTGAGAGGCTTAGCGTTAAACTAAAAACTCTTCCCGGGTCCAATGAGCCGTATGAGGCCAGCACTCAGCAGGAAATAGGTGAGAAACAACTTTGCTCTTTATTTTTAAGGAGGTTCTTGTCATTGTGGCTCCAATACACAATCAAATAAAGATACAATTCTGGTAGAATAGTTACTTTTTCACCAAACAAACCGTGCTTGGCGTTTTGCATTCCTTTAGCTCACACAGTAGAGCATGGATCTAGCAAATGCCCTTAATCAAATAATGTTACCCTTTTCTGGCTGCTTTATATTATAGCTAAGAGTTTTCTCATTCATGTAAAGGGAAAAATGATTCTGGTCTGGCCTGTGCTTATTACCACTTAGTGCTCCCATTGTATTCATCACTTTAGATGCATCTTATGTCGATCCGTTGGGGCCTCAAATGCAGAGACCAAAAACAGCAGCAAGGAAACGCACAGAGGAAGATGAGTTTGCTGATGAAGAGCTGGGAGATGACTTACTGCCTGAGTGATGTGTGCAACAGAGATCAATTCAGTGGAAAGTCTAATATATATCCAGATACTAAAACTGTCTGCATTTTCAGCTCAACTAATAGCACTGAAGTTTAAAAATACTTCATTACATCCTTCGTTATGCTTTACTATATTTTATAATAGCAATGCATTGTATATATATTTGCATTTAGGAAAAAATGGTCATCTTATTTCATCCATTTTGTACATTAAAATGTAAAGATTTTTCTGTATGACTACACCATAAAACCTGGATAACATGAAGTTAAAGACGTGCATGTTTTGTAAGTCTGAAATATGAAATCAGTTTTATATATATACATATTTTAATGATTCAATCACCTAAATATCTGAAAGGAATGCAGAGGATCCGTGGGGGTGAATCAATGTGAGAGTTTTCGCATTGGGTTGAGCAGATCATGATCTATTCAGTATCCAACAGTCCGCCCAATATCTGGAGTCAAGTATCCTGAGCGCATTTACGGGACGGACGGATGAGGCACAGCTTTACGCAACAAGTGGGGAGTTTGTGTAAGTCGGTTTAAGAGCTCGCTGGAGGTTTACATTAATTCATCTTTCCCAACAGTCGCTTGCTGACAGTAAAGCGGGCTCAGACTCGGTGTAAACTGAAATGCGCGGTCAAGTTGTTTCGACGCTTGTGCTGGTGTTGCTGTGGTGTTGCGGGAGCGCGCCGGGTGAACGGGGACAGAAGGTGTCCAGGAGAACACCGAGGACTCGCTCCTGTCCGGACTTACCAGAGGAGATTTTGGAGCAGATGTTTGGGAGGCTCTCGGTCGGGGTGCTCAGCGCGTTTCATCACACCTTGCAGCTCGCGCCTCCAGAGCGCCAGAATCTGAGCTGTCAATCAGCGTCTCGAGTAGCGCGCGACAGACCACGTACACCAGTAAACTTCCTCAGCCTCTCGCCGTGGGCGTACAGGTAGGGCTCAAGAACCATGAGCGATGAGATGAGACTAGCGATGGAAATCTTATGGAATTTAACGATTCCGCTTTCTTATCCCTCATAATACGTTAAGAAACTATACTTTTTTGCATCCCAGGACCCAGGGTCTGTTTTAGACCCGGTGGAACGTACACTTATAAAACAGTCATAATTATTATTGTTCAGCTAAAAGCATAGCGTATCTAGTTTTGAATGTTACTGTGTTTTTTTTTTTTTTTACCATGCTATTACTTAATTTATTCCCCTTTTTATTAACTCTTTCAACGCCATTGGCAGAATTTTCTGTCATGTATTATGAGTCAACGCTTCCTCGCCATTGACGGTAGGGGGCGCTATTACGCATGCTCTGAAAGTGTACATATTCCCCGGGTTCAAAACACAGGCAAAACAGAAGCAGAAACAAGCGATAGAAGCGTTGCTTATGCACGCTGAAACTTACTCCCATTCAAGTGTTGTTAAAATAAAAGAATGCATGAAGCTAGAACAAAACTTTTTTTTTTAAGCAGAGGCTCTGTTATTTCTTTTGATTGCATGTTCAGATATTTATACAACAAAATATTCAGGGGTCCATGAATGTTTTGTGAAAATTATCAGAAATGCTGGTGGTGGCGGAGTTAATAAAATAATAAAAGAAATTTCAAATTTTTCAAGAATTACAGCAAAAAAAGTGTAATGCAAGAATATATATATATTTATTAATATTTATGAGGAATTTTATTTGAATACATCATCAGATGAAATTTTTAAAGAGCATATAATATGATAAATTCCAGTATGAACTCCATTGACCAATGGATTTAATTACATTTATTTGAAACTAACACATGACTGCTGAAAAATACATTTATGAAACCTACATATTCTTTTTTTTTTAACAAAACAACATCAATATTATTTTAATGTTATTCATGTTTCTTGTGAAAAATTGATGATAAACAGTTTGAATCTCATTTTTAATGCTGCAATAGTTTTTAATGCAGCAAAGTGAAATGTGGTCTTTTTCTTTTTGCCAAAACCTCTTTCAATTTTCAAATTTGGTCTATGAACTTTTGCTCTATAAACACATTTGTCATTTTATTTTAATTTCAGAAGTATTGTGTGTGCAGGTTTATAAACAAAATACAGTGTAAGAGTAGGAAAGAGGCTAAATTTATTTTACAGAAGTAATTTGAAATCTAGATGTACAAAAATAAATAAATACAAAATAGCTGCAGAGAAATTACATGTAAATGTTAAACATAGCCTAATAAATATGTGTCTTTCCAGGCTTTCTAATAAGTGATTGATTTCACTTAACTAAAAGATGATCAGTTGTATGGAAGCAAGGTCACCTGCAGTAATAAATTACCTTACAATTTTTATTAGTCTGAAATTTACAAAGTTTACAATTGACAAAGACTTGTCTTTGTACAAAAAACTATGGATAAAAAAATAAATATAAAAACCTCTTCTGGGACAAAATGGACCCGTATGCAATATGAGGTAACCTTTCAGTGCTTATGGTAGAAATAGTTGGAAATAAGATAAGCCATTTTTATTGTGTTTGCTAAATAATGGGGTTATTTTAGTTTAGAGGCAGCATAAATGCAATCCAGTAATTACCCCCTACCTGTATATTAAATAAAAATACAAAGATGTTAAGAGTTTATTATTTTAATATCTTTTATTCAGCTCGGTTGTGTGTTCCCCAAACCAATCATATAAGATTTGATGTCTTGCCTGTTTAGCTGCAAGGAAAATAATTCTTTTTTTTTTCATTATTGATCCAAGAATCTCCCATGAGCCAGCAAGGTACCCCCGATACCTCCCGGAGGCTTATTGTTTGTGTAAGGGATGCCTGACCGGGCCGAACGGGGAGGAAAGTGACCGCTTCCGAAGCACCCCAGTGTACATGCCCACCGTCATCCTGCGCCGTACTGGCTCGTGTGTCGGGGGTCGTCATTCCTACACGGAGAGCTACGTGTCCATCGCCGTGGGATGTACTTGTGTGCCATTGTTGGAAAGAGACAGAAAAACACTCAAGAGCAACCCAAGTGTGAAAAGAGTCGCGTCTAAAAATGCAGTTTCCAGCACCTTTAGAAAGAATCAACCGAACTGATACATTTTTTTTATTCTCTATCGCTAAACTTTTCTTCTTCTTTTTTTTCTTTTTGCTCTCACCAAAATAAAGACAGAACTTGGCACTGCATACGAGAATCTGCAGCTGTGAGGGCGAGCAAAAGGAAAACTTTCAGTGCCAAAATACAAACATTTACTAATCCAAAGTACTCGGGAAAAGCCAGTCAGCATTATGGTGTTAAATAACTAATACAGTCCAGCTGTGTGCAAGTATACAGAAGATCACTAGAAATATGCTTCTTTTAAAGGCAAGCGTGAGTGTCATAACCATTCAATGGATATCATTTACAAGAATTATTCAGCTTGACTTTGTGTCAGTCTTCATATGATTGCTTTAATAAAAACAACAAGAACACTGGTAACACAAGTCTAGTAGTGCATGATATATTACATACTAATGCATTTCAAACATTCACTTCTATGCCCCTTTTATGCTTAGAAACAAAGTTGAAATGGTTTGCTTCAATTCTATGACTGCAACTTTAAAAGATGCATGCAATGGACAATGCAAGCCAGCCAAAGCATAATCAAAGACTGATTGTGAATCTCTGATCAAGGGCCAAATTCTCAGCTGTAATATCTGGATCCTGCTATTTTCCACTTAGAGTGAGAATATTTATTGTTCCGAATAATCCTCTGCCGATGGTTGATGGGAAAAACAAGGTTCAAATGTTGTCAGATTGGAAGCCTTTTTCATGAGAGAAGGCTTGATTCATAGTTAACGTAGCAGCGGAACTCATTAGCCAGATTGTGATTGTGTTTCGGTAAAAAACTGCAGATTTTCAGATCCATAAGTTTGCCAGCATGCTCCTCCATAATAGCTCCTGTACGAATAAGGCAAAGATTAGAATACAGATCATGAGCGAGAAATATATACAGTATATATGTGTGTGTACAGAGATGTATTCACTTCCACGTGCCTGTGCAGAGCAGGATTTTGCCCTTAGTGAGGTATTTAACAGTGAGTGCCACCTTGCTGAGACACTCCTCGGACAGGTATGGAGGGTCTGCGATGACAATGTCAAAGCTCTGAGGAAGGAGATCCTCAGAGAGGAACAGAGGGTTGTTGTAATCATAAAAGACAAACTCATCTCCATATGCTGCGAAACGTCGATCAAACTCCAGCAAGACAGCAGACACACTATCCGACCTCATGGATTCCAACCGTTTCAGCTTTTGATACACACTTGGTGCACTTATACAAGCTATCCTACAACACAGGAATAGAACATTTGTCTGAGAGGGGACACATAAAAGGTCAGTAATATAAATTAATTTTTTTATTTTACAGATTTACAATTTAAAAATTTTTTACACATCAATGATGCAGCGCTTGAAAATAGGCCACCTTCCGTCAACACAACGGAACTATTTTCAGGCGCTGCGTCATATCATTACGCCTGCTGCTCTCATGGTACGGCAGTGAAGTTTCTTGATTATTACGCAGGAATGAGAGTATAGTTCCTAGCCATATCAGCCTAGAAAATCGCAACTTTACATTTTCCGTCGGTCTTAGTGCACGATGTAACTACAGAAGAGTCAAGTTTTAAATAGGAAAAATATCGAAACTCTTTGGTGATTTTTGTTTGAGAACTGCTAATGGTCTTGTCCACTTCAATGATGTATGCTAAGCTATGCTAAAAGTGGTACCGCCAGAACCGGAGATCGGCTGAATGGATTCAAAAACGGTAAAACTCAACAGTTTAACTCTGAGGGAGTTGTAAAATGAGCCTATTTCCAAAAAAAGTGGAGTATCCCTTTAACTGGCGTATCGAGGTAACTTGGCAGTAAGTGCAACAGAATCACCGTCACACTGTCTTTGAGTTTTATACATGCAAAACCTATTGCACAAATGTAAAATTTTGACCAAAGGAGCTTGTGACCCACCTTCCATGTTCTCCAGCCTGCTGCAGGACTTCCTCTGCTAACCGTGTGGCCGTGTCTTCACTGTACCAGAACTGACTCATGCGCTGCTCACAAACACATGAGCTCAGTAAGCACTTGATGTATATAGAACGATATAACGTATAACAATCAACGAATCATTACGCAAGTAAAAGCACTTCTACTACATTTACTGTACCCAGTCTTCCTCCACGGCACCAACACAGAACTTGTCTGTCTGGGTCGAGTCCAGTTCGGGTCCCGTCCTTCCACTCTCGGAGTAAAACTCCTGCAGCGCTGCAAGTGTCGCCGCGGAGAGCTGAGGCACATCATCTTCACTGTCACTCATTGCAGCAGATCCTTCTATAACAAAATGACACGGGAACAAATCGTGGAACGCTGGAGTCTGGAGAAACATTCAATGCAACGCTAATTCAATAATGATGCTGACAGTTTTTGCTAACTGTCGCAAACGATATTTAATATAGAAGTAACTTTGGTTTTAACCAGACTTTAAACTTACCTTTCTAATGAACGACGCCGTTACAATGTATTTGAAGCAGTAACTTACACACGGCACGGAAAACAGCATCACACGTGTTTGAACTACGGTGGCCGAGCGAGTACAATCGCGCTACAGCGAAACATGTACACATGCCCATATTCCCAGAACAGACTACACATTCACAGACAACATTGAAAATGTAAACAAAGCAAGCGGACTCACTTTTTATAGCAAGTTTATATACACTTTACAGATCATTTCAGGCATTCCGAAATAACAATTAGTGCTTTGAACAATGGAAATAAGGACCATCAAACGCCCTGAATAAAACAGCTGACATCCCTCATCATCATTTTTGGTATTTTATTGCTACAGCAACATTGACTGTTCCACAATTCTGAGTATGTGTATCTGCTAGTGTAAGTGGAACACTGTTGAAGTTTATTGTCGAAAATCAAAACCTTGATGGGAACGTCAGGTGACCATGTGAAAAATGTCCAAAATTGATCAGACATGAGTTTTGTTGAAAAACACTTTCTGTGATACTGCTGTGATCAGGGCGAAATAAAGGCAAAGAGTAAAACTACAATCAATCAAATCAATCAATCAATCAAAAAGAAAAATCCAAACTAGCCCCCTTTTCATTCAGCTGAAGTTGTAATAAAAAAAGTCAAAGTTCTGTCAACTATAATCTTATAAAAACTTCTCAGTCCTTTTAAACACTTTCATTTTTTGTCTTTTTCAAAAATATATATACACCCTTAAACACAAAAGTGATTTGGTTTTCCAAAAGGGCCTTCCTGCATTCAAAGTTTCATTGGGAAAGGCTTTTTCGTTGTCATGGCAAACACCGCTCACAATCCTAGGTACCGTGAGTGCAGTACCACACGGCTCTATTGTCACTGTAGACACAGCTGGGCACATCTGAGCTGTGAGAAACCAAATACGAAGGCACTCAAGGAGAAGCGTCTGCAAAAGACAGCGTGTGTGTGTGTGTTTGTAAAGGGGATGAAGGGATCAGTTTTCAGAAAGATTACCCCGCTGCACTTCATAAATGTTCATCTGAGGACCTCTCAGTGGCAAAGTAAACAACGATCAGATCAGACTGAGATGATCATGGCCCACTGGCCGCCCCCTCTCGGCCTTCGCCTGCCTCTCTCCTCTCTCTGGAGGCATGTGTGTCTGAAGGCCCATAGGCGTCTCAGCCTGTGCTGCGCTGAGCATCTCCATGGTTTGGCATGGTGAAAGGCTTCTCTGAGTGGTAGAGGGGGTGGAGAGGGGAAGCTGCTGTGGACAGTTGCAGGAGGAAGTGGTTTATTTGACACACAGAAGCCCCCCCACATTGGCAACAAACTCCTCCAGGCTCTTGAGGAAGGCCACCTTCTGTTTGCGGTCCATGGTCGGAGGCGTGCTGCTGGCAGTGAGGTTGTTGAACGCGTCCGCCAGCCGCTGGTAGATCACGGCATCCCTCTGATTGGAGAGCAGCGTCTCCACCAGCTCCGAGTACTCCGCCTAAGACAAACACCATCACATCAGTATGTCACGAGATCAAGCGTTTCTTTGTTAAAACTCACTCAAAACTTTATAAAATGTACTTCCAGGTAAGATTTATGTTTTGCAGCTGATGTTATTGAGTTAAACAGTGCTGTGTACCTGGTGAAGGCACACTAGCGTATAAAGCGCTTCTCCAGCTGCTACTGTCATCTCAGTGTTGTGCTTCTGGAGCACAAGCATGTCAAACACCAGCTATGGGGGAAGAGAGAGTGAGCGCACATTATTAATTCACATATTTTATACATGTGCATTGATCTCAGACAATTACATATTACATGAAGGTTAGTGACCTATTGGATCTTGTTTGAGCATTTTGAGATTGTTGACATCAGCCAATAATAACTCTCAATTAACATTAACTTTTTTTGCACATTCTGAGATAATATTGCGTAAAATGTGTTCACGTCAGTTAAATGTTCTCTTTTGCTGTTGTATTATGTATTCTACAGTTTAAATGTTTGGGGTAAGTAAGATAAAAAAGAATAGAAAAAAAAAATGAATACTTTTATTCAGCAAGAAAGCATTAAATTGATCAGACGTGATAAAGACATTAATAAATGTTTAAAAAAAATGTTTTAAAAATATATATATTATCACACTTTCTAGAAAAATATCAAGTACAACGGTTTGCCAAATTGATAATAACAAATGTTTCTTGAGCAGCAAAATCAGCATATTAGAATGATTTCGGAAGGATCATGTGACACTGAAGACTGGAGTAATGATGCTAAAAATTCTGTTTTAACATCACAGGAATAAATTACATTTTAAAATATATTTTAACCTAGACTATATTATAAGTTGAAAACATTTTTTAATAATATTTTACAATATTATTTTTTACTGCATGTTTTCAACGAAAGAAATGAAGTGTTGGTGAGCAGAGAGACAAAAAAAAAAAATCTTACACACTCCAAACTTTTGAACAATAGTGTTTATCTGCATTAAATTAGCCACAGTTTTTTTTATACATGTTTTATACATGTCACAACTGTTATGAACCAGTCGACTCACTTTAAGGAAATGTCGTGTGGCAATAAATAGGGGTGTGTCCTTTTCCTGTGTCTTGGCACACTGCTCAGCCAATGGGGATAGAGCCTCAAGACACAGCTGACTAATCTCTGAGCTCATCCTGCAGTGTGTGTTAAGGAAAAACACTAGACCATAGACACCATAATTCAACAAAAACTCTCAATGAAGTCAGTGAAATCCAACACAATATGCTTAGCAAGCACATACTTCATTAAATAACATGAAAACATAAGTGTAAACAGACTTTTTTTTATGCATACACAAAAACAGCAAGGATACGAGGTCATGCCCAGCTCCAGGGAGCACATGAGACTTTTGAAGAGTTCCTCAGGCAGCTGAGGAATCTTCTCTGGGAAAATCTCACAGATGAAGGTGATGAGCTTATAATACTGGTTACACAGAGAGGGGAACTGGGTGCAAGAGACAGATGGAGAGAGTATTTCAGAACAGCAGTGCACCTTTTACTTCAAACATCTGAGTTTGTAATGAACATCTGAATATTTTTCAAAATACAGGTTGAAAGTCAATTTTTACCTTAAGCAAGTCCTGAGACATGAGGGGCAGCACAATATTCACCCCATACAGCACCACATCAGCAGCAGATACGGTCCGTCCAGCACCGGAACTCTGCTCCTGCCCGCGAAACACCTCATCTGCACACATAACACAGTTACTCTTCATCTCACACACAGAGGCTCACGAGTTACAACGTGAATAATGTTCATCGTGAATGAGCGCTCGTACCGGTGTCGCTAAAGTCAATGAACTCTTTGGACAGCAGGTTGGTGAGGAGCTCCATGATGAGCAGAAGGTCCTGATACTGATCTTCCTCTCCGGCCACATCTAGTCTCTTGCGCCCCAGATTGTTCTTCGAGTAAACCTGGAGCAGCGTCAAGCACACCTCGTACAGTTTCATAGACTTAGTCTGTGGAGAAAGAGATGGGGTGTGTTCAAAATCATAAAAAAAAAAACATTTAGGATGTATATACATTGTACATAAATGTAAGGCAAATAGTGCATGTGGAAGAATATATCCAAAATGTGAAATGTGTGGTCACATCAGAATCAATGCAAGCGTGAATGTCTTACCTCCCCCAAGTAGCAGATTTGTTTGTGAGCCACTTCCACAAACACCTCTATGATGAGGTTGACCGTTTCTGGTGAGTTTCTGTAGACCTCCATGAGGCCGATGCAGCTGGACAGGAAGTCCATGAGGAAGCTGAAGAGAGATGCGACGTTGTCGATCTGCGTTGCTTCAGCTATGCCGCACAGAGCTTCCAGAGTGGCCACAATCTCCTGCTTCACGGCCTCCTCTTGACAGATCTGAGCGAAGTTCTCCTGGTTAATGAGGTTTAGGAAGCGCTGCTGAAGTGGATGCAGTACCTGCAGTGCAGAGACAGAGTAATGAGGCAACATTTCATAAACTCCTGCTTTATCTTGTGTTCTCATCAGCAATAATGCTTGGGCTTCCTTCAAAACATTTCTCTAGAATCATTTTTTTCTGACCTCAGCCCAGTATTGCTGTTTGGTATCAGAATCCATGTGAGCAAAGCCGCCCAGGACCAGAGCCTTCATCAGAGTCCGCTGGACTGAGCTGGACAGCATATGTAAGGGAGGACTGCGACTGGCAAACTGCTTAGCCAAGTTCCACCAGTTCTCACACTGCACAACAATGTTCGCCCTGAAACGTGAGAGAGCAAAAGTTAAGATAAAAAACACAGATATACAAGACAAACTTATATATCGTGTGAGCAGATTTTACTGAACAGCTTAAGGAATAGTTCACCCAGAAATCATGAATTACAGACCTGTATTCAAATGTGTTGCATCGATATTATTGATGAGATATGTTAGACATGCCAAGTTTGAATATGCTCATACACTAGCGTTCAAAAGTTTGGGCTCAGTAAAATACTTCTTTGCAGCAGGGATGCATTAAATTGATCAAAATTGACAGTAAACGTATAACTTTACAAGAATTTTATTTCTATCAAAAAATCCTGTAATAAATGTATCAGTTTCCACAAAAATTTCAAGCAGCACAACTGTTTTCAACATTTATAATAGGAAATGTTTCTTGAGCAGCAAATCAGCATATTAGAATGATTTCTTTAGGATCATGTGACACTGAAGACTGGAATATTGGAGTAAATGTATTAAAATAGAAAACAATTTAATTTGTAATAGTATTTAACAATATTGCGGTTTGTTTTACTGCATTTTTGATCAAATAAATGCAGCCTTAGAAAAACTTTTCAAAAACATAAAATCTTGCAAACCCAAACCTTTGAA